TTCTGCTGGCTCTAGAGCTAGCCTGAGGGAGACGTTGAGAGCCAGCAGGATACTCTTGACAAAGGTTTAATTTCTAAAATATATAAAGAATTCATAAAACTCAACACCAAACAAACAACCCAATCAAAAAGTGGGCAGAGGATCTGAAAATACATCTCTCCTCAGAAGACATACAATCAATAGATATATGACAGGATGTTATACCTCACTGGCAATTAGGGAAATGCAAATCAAAACTACAATGAGATACCACCTCACACTTGTTAGAGTGGCCATTATCAACAAGACAAGTATTAAGTGTTGGAGAGGTTGTAGAAAAAAGGGAACCCTCATCCACAGCCGATGGGAATGTAGACTGGTACAACCACTATGGGAAGCAGTCTGACAATTCCTCAAACAATTGAGAATAGAGCTACCATACAACCCAGCAACCCCTCTCCTGGGTATATACCCCAAAACCTCAAAATCATGTATTCACAAAGATATATGCACCCTTATGTTCATTGCAGCATTATTCATGGTAGCCAAGACATGGAAACAACCTAAGTGTCCTGCAGTAGAGCTCTGGATAAAGAAGAAGTGGTACATATACACAATGGAATTCTATTCAGTCATAAGAAAGGGTGATATACTGCCATTTGCAACAACATGGATGGATCTTGAGACCATTACACTAAGTGAAAGAAGTCAGTCAAAAAAAGCTAAGAACTGTATGATTTCATTCATCTTTGGGATATAAAACTGAAACGTGTGAACACAAACAATAGTGTGGTGGTGTCCAGAGGGAAGGGGGTGAGAGTTGGTCCTAATATATGGTGACAGGAGAAGATTTGACTTTGGGTGGTGGGCACATGGTACAGTATACAGATTTTGTAACATAGAAACTCACAACTGAAACCTATATGTTCATGCTAACCAGTGTCACCCAATAAATTGAATTTAAAAACCATAATAAGCATGCTATTACCATACCTAGCAATTATAACAAAGTCCTTAGTATCATCTGATCTCCGCCGACTGATTTTGAATCTCATTGATCCTACATACTGCATGCAACTCACCCTGCCTGGATTTCTAATCTGGGCCTCCTGCTTAGTTTGAGAAGTGCAGAGAGTTGGAAAGTCAGGCCACAGTAGTCTGATGCCTGTCCATCCTCACTTTGGATCTTCTGGCTCAGGACAGAAGCTCTCTGTTCAAACATTCTTTTGGAGCGGAACAACCTTCCAAGCAATGTGAGTCTGGAGAGAGGCATTCTCTAGAGGTGGCTCTGTTCCTTGCCTGCTGGGTGGCACTGGAAAATCTGCCTCTGTACTCCATCAAGAAAATGGAATATATAACTTTGGTCCTCAGGAGTTAAGTGAGTATTTGACAGCCAAGGCTTGTAGTAGTATTTCTGCTGTGCTCAGAGATCATATCAAACATGTCACTTCTCTTCATGGGCCACTGTGCCACACCTACTTGTGCTTTCATGTCAGTGAAGGTAGGTTATGTGGACATCTGTTTTCTTCACATTGCTAACAGCTGTTTGGTACTCCCCAGGCACTTCTTTCCTGAGCTTATTAATCTGATTATTTTGCATTCCTCTTTACCCTTCACTCTACCATAATCCATGGGCATCTCCCCCTCTCAAATAAACAGTCAACTCATAACTAGCCTCCATCCATTTTTGCACTTCTCCCTGAATCTTCAGTAGAGGAAGAAGAGCAGACTCCACTTACCTTGCTAGTACCAGCTCAAAGTATGTGACATCTCTTTACTTCAGCCCTTTTCTTGGCCAGAAAGACATGGTCAAGCCTATTGGCATGAAATTGGGTGTGAAAAGTTTTATTGGCAAGTACATAGGGCATAATATATTGCCTGCTTGCCAGCCAACCAGCCTTATGTCCCCAGGATAGAAAAGCTGTACGAATAAATCACTTGCCTTCCTAATTTTTTTCTGAGAGGACATTATCTTGTGGAGGAGAAGCAAAGCCTCAACTCCAGAAACCCAAATGCTGGCAGGTGACCCTTGGCTTTCACTGGTACCATGTCTTCTTCATTCCCCCTTGATGATTTATGTGGACATAGAGAAGTAGACGTGCCCTCAAGTGCTCAAATTGGGCACTTGAGACCTTATTTAGTTTTCTAAGAGGAATTCACTGGAATTCCTTGAGTTTCATAATTCAGTCTATATATGGAGCAAAGAGAGCCCCTTGCCTAGTAGCCTTTACAAATCAGGTACTATGGGATCACAGAGCAAAGAATGGAGTTAAAATCCAAGTGTTTTGGACTTGTTTGCAAGAAAACTGTATAACCAAAGCAAGTTATGATCAAGGGGGCCCAGATCCTCTGGGAACCTTCAGAATTGCATATATCAAGCTGTTTACTGGTTTCAAACAATCCTGCATTGTTCCCACAGGCACAAAGTGCAAGCAGGAGGCTGCCACCAAGAAAGCTGGTAGTGCCCTCTTGAGGAATCCCTGAGCACTGCCAGAGACCCAGCTAGACTCAAGAACATTTTGCTAAGGACACCCAGCAAAACCATTGGAAGCAGAATCACAGAAATTGTGGGGGTGGGTGGTTTAAAAATACCCTTGGGGACCTGGAAAAAAACCCTATGAGGTTTGTGGGAAAAGATCAGGAGAGGGGTGATTAGTGGGTGCTGTGGCAGAGTGTTAGGACTACAGAGTGGCTGCAACACACTAGATTCTGGGCAGCTGGGACCTTAAGGCACTGAGGACAGTGAGCATGACACAATCACCTGGCTGAGCCCCTTTCTCATCCCTGGGCATAAGAACAGGAAGACATGCTCTGTAAAGAAGTGCAGAGAGAGAAAAAAAGAAAGAAAAAAGAGAGCGAAACAAATGCACAGAGAGAAACATAGACAGAGATGGAGAAACAGAGACACAGATTGATCCTTGGGGAGAGCACAAAATGTGTAGTAAGGCAATAGAGATGGAGGAAAGAAGAAGAGATATGTGTGTTAGGTGAATGTGGTTGAAAATTTGGTATCTTTGGGTTTATTTGGAACACATTTTTTTTTTCTGAGTAGTCCCCAGAGCTGCTGCTGAGAATCCAGGGGCAGATTTATGAGAGGGCTCAGCCTGAGCAATCTCTCTTGCATGCAGGGCTACCTCATCTATTTAAGCTGTGAAAAACCATCTCTTTCATCCCTAAATCAGATGCCCCAAAGTTTGGATTCCTTTCCTTTTGTCATCTGAGGAGCTGAGAGCACATATTTGGGGACTTCTTGCTCTTGGTCCTCCCTCTCCTCCAGGGTCATTTTGACAAGAACCATCCGAAAGGTAATCTTTGGCACAATGCTATGCATGACTCAGCTTCCTCAGCAGGCAGAGTCTATGGCTGGAAAGCAGGGCTGGTGTGAGGTCAGGGGTCCTGGGACCTTCTACCCTGTCATATGACCTTAGTCTCATCTGTTCTGAAAGCTACTTTTATACTGTTCTATAGTAGGAGCAGCACTTACAGGGATCTTTTCTACTTGGGGCTGGTATAAGAGCAAAGGATCTAGGGTTCTAAGATTCTGAACAAGCCTCAAACAGTACACGACACAGGTGGACCCACAAGGGCATCTGTAGAAGACTCATGCTTTTTCTAACAGCAGAGAACATTTTTTTCTGTTTCTCAGAAACAAGTCTAAGGTCACAGATCAAAGAGAAAACTGTGAGACACAATCTTGCCTTTCTCCCTCCAGAGGAAGAGTCTAGTCTAGAGACTCTGCTCTGCACCCGCTTCCTCTCCTCTCTGACTCCAAGGCAAAGCCATAGGAAAAATTCTGGAAGCCTGTACCTTCTTTCCATGGAGTCTTCCAATAGGTACTCCTCCAGTTATATGCCAAACAGTTTCCTTACAGGCCATCCATGGGAGGATGTAGACCTCAAGTTCAAGAGAACTATGCCTTTCTGAGGTTCCTGAAAGGATAAAGAACAATATCAAAGAGCCTATATAGACACTGGTTAAGATTCATCCCTTTTAGAAAACCTTCCTATGCTAATCTAACTTGGCACTCAAATATCTTCATAGTCTTTAAAAACAACTATTTTTTATAAGGCAGGTTTCATATATTAGTCCCATATTTTTGCTGCTTTGCCATTTTTTCTTAGTATTTCTTTCCCTGAGGCAAGCACGATATTTCCTTTCCCTTTCTCTCCACCCTCACTGGCACCTGCTGCTTCAACCCAACCCACACCCTCCCTGCCTCTCACCAGCCTAGTCTCAGCTCTCTGATGATACTATATTCTCAGGATGGGATATTGACCTTCTGGTTCTCAGATAATGTTCCTAACTTTTCTCAAAGTCAATTATCCTCCTTGGAAATCACCCACATACCTAACTCTGACCTTTTCTTTAGTCTATTCTGTGAACCTGCACCGGTCTTGTCCCCTCTCTGGGTCTTTGTTATCCTCTCAATAAAATTATACAATGCTAGCCTCCTACTGCTTGTCACAATCTGTTTGTGGAAGCAATAGCTTGTATTTTGTCCTCACTCAGTTGGAGAATTTGGAGGATACTATTTAAAAGACAAATTTTTCTTCTCTATTGTGTTTCTAAAGCTGAGTGGAGTGGGGAGGGTGCTAATTTGTCAAGGAGTGGGGAGAGGGGAAATGTAGACAGGGCCAAGGGCAGCTATGAGTGAGGGTTGCGAGAATTGGAAGGACTCTGGAAGATAGCATCTAAGTTTTTGACCTTGACCCCCTCACCAAAGCTACCGCTTCTGTGGCTTCTGACACTTGTGCTGCCACATCCTATAGCAAATAGATCTAAGTATCAGTTGGAGGCTTCCAGGACCTCTTTTTTAAAAAACTTCCAGCCCCAAACCACATTTCCAGATGTCTCTGCAGCAAAGTAGAATTCCACATAGGCAAGTCTTAGAAAAAAAAAAGAGAAAGAAAAAAAATTGACAGTGAAAGGCAGAAAAGAGAAGATGGAGCCCTTAAAGAAGGGAGTATCCCTGAGGAGGTGGGGACAAGAGGAGGAAAAGGGGAGGAGGAGAGGAGGAAAGTGGGCCTGTCTCTTTAAGGGGGTTGGCTGTCAATCAGAAAGCCCTTTTCATTGCTGGAGAAGAGGACAAAGATACTCAGAGAGAAAAAGTAAAGGAACGAAGAAGGAGACTGGAGAGACCAGGATCCTTCCAGCTGAACAAAGCCACAAAGCAGACTAGCCAGCCGGCTACAGTTGGAGTCAGAGTCCCAAAGTCATGGGTGAGTTTAAAAAAACTTTAGCATGGAAGATTTAAGCAGGTTCAGGAATATGCAATAGTATTTATGAGTTTGGATTTTGGGGGATTTCAATGGTTTAAATGAGTTGTGCTTTGGCACTTGTTTTTTGTTTGTTTTTTTTTTTATTAAATTCCTTAGCACCCAATTAGATGAACTCTGTCTCTGCTGTATTGAGATTGATGCTTTATTGCCAAATAATTCCAGCAGCACGTGGACATTCCCACAGGTCCTTAGAGAGAGTGCCCAATGGGCTGGATGTGGTCATGTGTATTCCTACCTTCTCACTTCCTTCTACCTTCTCTTTTCCCTTGGTTCCTTGGGTTCTGGTAATGACCAGGTCAGCTGATATCCCTGGCTCTTCTGGGGGAAAAATTCTTGTTGGGTACCCTTCAGATGTACTAAATAACTGCTTGCTTTATACAAAATGAACCATATTTGGCTATAGTGGGAAATTGGAGATTGAGGCAAGATGGATTTAGGATTGGACATGGCCAAGGAGGTAAATCTTAAGTTCAGAAAATAAAGTCTTCAGTGGCTTTACTATGGGGAATGGATATGAATAGGTGTGTGTGAATGCACAAGCATGTATGGTTGGCCATGTTTAGCAAATATCACAGACTTAGCCTTCCTGAAGACATACCTCAAACTCTAAATTCCTCTATGACAAGGAGGCTTCTGGGACCTTAGGGCTCTGATTGACTTGGTTGAGTACCAAGGGCTTCTCCAGGTTTCATGAACAAAGAGAGAAGTGAGGAGGTCTTGTCTCTGGCAGTGTCTACTCAGAGCAAGGTATGACACAGGGTGCCACAGATAAGTGTAGACATTCCCTACATGTGGCAAAAGCTTGAATGCAGCCTAAGTAAAATGAGAATTGATTGCCCTGTGTATTCACCATCAATGTAGTACCCAGAAGATTCCAGCAACATCCAGGAAGATAGGTTTTCAACTCTATTAAGCTATGTCAGCTTTTAGGTTATTTTATCCTGAAACATCAAGAAAGCTCTTTTCAGCATGTATTCAGGTAGGATAATTAAGAGGGCATATCACTGAATTAGAAGTAAATACAATCAAGTTTAAATCCTAGATCTGCCATATATAAGCTTCATGACCTTGGGTAGGTCATTGTGAATTATCACTTTTTCATCTGGAAAATGGGAATCACAATAACTGTTTTGTATACTTTCAAAGTTGTGAAAATCAAGTAATAGTGAAGTGAAAGTCCTTTGAAAATGGACAAGCTGTGTATCCATTATAAATCATCATAATGATACCCATACCTATTATTATACAATAGCTCATGTACAGGATGACTTATGTTTTCCAAAATGGTTGGTTTTTCTGTTTCTGCACTTTGTGTAGTTGGGTAAGAATCATTTGATCAATTGAATGTGGCCAGATAAAAGGTGAATGTTCAAGAAACTTAATTCTTGCCCAAGGTAATATTGGAAAACTTACCTGATATCATGGAAGCTGTTTGTGTAGGCTGTGATTTAAAAATGGAGAGGGGGTAAAGAAGGGTACTGAATATTACTTCCTCAGGGGATGAAAGTGTGTGGCTGTTTAACAATTGGGAAAGTAAATTGTTAAATTTACTTTGTCAGTGCCAGTAGATGAATTATATCATGAAATCTGTAGTTGGAAGGAACTTTAGAAGCTGTCTGAGCCACATCTTAATGCAGTAGTCCCTTTTACAACAGCCAATTAAATAATCCTACAGCCTCTTCTTAATCTCCTCCAGGAACAGGGACCTCACTACCTCAACCATATAAATCCTGTAGGATTGGAAGCTTTCTTTCAAGATTAAGAGGAACATTGAACCCAGTAGTGTCTGCACAAAAGGTTTACGGGGGAAATGGTAGTTCTTTAAACCTTGTCCCAATTTTGGAGGAGGATATTCCAAATGAACCTTTGGGATAACAATGGAACCAGAAAAGAGCCAAAGAGCAGTAGCTGATTATTCTCTGCTCAGTAATACAATGCCATTACTGAACAGCAAAACATTGGCTACTGTACATCTGTTGTCTGAGAAAGTGGCTGTAACCCTGGTAACCAGACTGTGATGTTTCCTTCCAAAGGTGGCTGTTTGCTGAGCAGTGTAGTTTTGGCTGGCTCAGAGTGAGTGGGTGTAACTTAAGCAAAAAAAGTGGAGGCAGAGCAGGGGTCCAGTTTTACAAAATGCCTGAAGACTAACTGAATCCCGCCCTGATTCCAAGAATGCTGCAAGAATGCCAGGAGCTAAAAAGAAACCAGATCCAAACCAGCATATTCACTTACTCTTCTTAGAGACACTTACTGAAATGATCACAGATAGCATTACACACCCCACTCCTCTCCTTGGTCCTACAGAGCCAGAGGAGCTCTTAGAGAGCCAGGCAGATGTAAAAATCTTCTCTGCTTCAAGGGGCTTTCATCTTGGCTCTGCGCTAGGAAAGCCAGTTTACTCAACAGCCTGACAATTAGACCTATTCTCTCAAAGCTATATAAGTAGTAACAAAGCTCAAGAAACCCCTGGGATATGGGTTGGAAGGGAAATATAGTCTTCAAACCCATCAAGGCAGACCCCAGCCAGTGACATCTTTTTTCTCTTGTTGATTTTTTGTGTATTATCCTGAAGCCCTGAAAACCATCATCAGGGTATAGTTCTTAATCTTGAAAGAAAGCAACAGTAAAAACACCCTACCTGCTCATAGAAATTCAGGTCCAGGGAAGATCTAGTCAGGGTAGTGACATGATCAGGAAAGGTCACATCAGTAATGGCAGGCAAACAGAGCAGCTTTTCCATCCCTTTCCACTGTCAGGGCCTAGCCAGTGCTAAACTTACATCAAAAGCTCAGCAAGTACTGATGGATGAATTCCTCCTTGGCTATTTTTAAGTGGTCTTAAGAGTGTTCTCTTACTCTGTGCTGGTCTCTGAGCTCTCTTCCAGGATGGACTCTGAAAAGAGTCAGTGATATCCCAAGGAAGACAACAGAGTTCCACAGATCAGATTTACAATACAACCAATAAGAGAGGAAAAATTGATAGGAGACTGACCTAAGGAATAAGGTATGGAAACTGTAGTCTCTTAGCTTAGTGTCAGTTGCTTCTTTTTCACCTTCCCATATGTGGGCAAGATGAAGAGAGTGTCATGGATAGAGTTTAACAATAAAGCTTCTACTCCAGCCTCCTAATGTTTGGGCATAAATTGGTTGTGTGTGTGTGTGTGTGTGTGTGTGTGTGTTTTGGGAAACAAGGTGGTCCAGATGCTGTGGCCATGGTAATAGTAATACCTGTTCAAAGAGGAGGCTGAGATTCCTTTTGATTTAACTCTGTCCATATGCCTTGTCTATTTAGTAGGCTTGAATTGTCATGTCCCATGATTGCAGGGCCCCTTTCCAGCCTTTAAATGTGGTATAAGTGTTGATTTCATGTAGGAAAGACAAGATTATAGGCAGGGCCTTGTGTGACCAGGATAAGGCCAGAAGCAGAAGTCTTTGCCACTAGTACTTCCTACTGATTGTTGCTTTATTTCTAGAACCCACCCCCTGATCCCCATCCATCCCCAGTACCAGTCACGGCTGCTCTAGCATCTTGGCCCTGTCAACTGCTTATAGACCCTGATCAAGGAGGCCTCTGTTCATGGGGTGAGGTTAAGGGGTGGGTTCTGGGAGGAGGGTAAGTGCAGATCAGAGACCTAGGGAGATAGGGCCAGTTTTTTACTCAATGAGCCTGCCTGTTGTTTAGTTCAATTGTATAGGGTTCTATCTCTCCCTTTGTCAACTGGATTCAAGGGACAGGCTGGGCTTGTGCAAAGCACAATTGGTCTCTTTCTACCATCGCTTTCGATGAGGCCCTTCCTCTCCTCCCTTTGATGAGTTCCCAGATTCACACTGAAATACCATCATGGAGCTGGTCCTTGAGGCGTGCCCAGGGCATGGGAAAGAAAGGAGGGCTTGGGAGCTCTTGACTTCTGCTTAAAGAGACAGCATCAGGGTCAATACAGTCTTTTGGATGGACATGGACCTGAATAAGAGTCACAATAGTGTTGTCAACCCTTTTTCAGACTCCTTCGAAGAGCATTGGTGAGAAAGGCTTAAAGTTCTATCACAGATTGATTATACTAGTTTTGGGAGTTTGCAGATAAATCTAGCTAACAATGAATATTTCCTCTTTGCTTACATTTTTCCCACAGGGTTTGATTATATACATTTTAACATAAGATGATAGGTAGCTTTAGTCTTTGATTCACAGACATAAGTTTGTTTTCTCCAACAAGACTGAAAGGATATTGAAGAAAGTGACTGGGCCTTATAATTCCATTTTGTGTCTCATAGAATCTAGGTAACTGCTACTGTGCTTAATAACTGTACTGAATCTACATAAACAGAAATGAAAGGAAAACACTGGGTGTGGGTCGTTATTTTTCTCTATGGCCTCTAGTCAAAATTAGTTGGTTTAATCAAACTGAGTTGTACTGGATAATATTATTACTATATATTTTTTATGCTAACTCTACTATGTTGCAGAGTGTACTTACCCTGGAAAATGTGAGACTGTCTTTTGAGAGAGACAAGGAACTTCTCCAGAATTCCTCACAGCTTTCCTGAATCACATCAATACCTTTCCAACCATGAAGGATTCTGAGATGGAGAGCCTATAGCTTTAGGCTCTTGTTCCCACATTCCTATGTACATTCCTTGGGCTGTGAAAAATGGAAGTGTACCAATGGACCCTTTTCAGAATATTTTGATTGTCAACTACTTTGATGAAGACAAAATTTCTTGCATGTTCTGAGTTTTTCCCAGTTGGAACCCAAAATTTAATTTTTTCACTTGGACAGATTGACAAACTCTTCACTTCTGATGAACTTAAATACCCCCGGAACAAACACTTCATTTCAGTTGTGAAGATATGGACATCTGATATTGTTCAACTTGTGCCAATATTGTTGAACTGTTTATAGCTCAACAATGATAGATTTATCTAGGGCCATTTATATTTCTGACTCCATGGTAGAGACTCATTAAAACCTATGTCCTTTTTGCCCCTTTTTGAGTGCCAGTAGATCAAAAAAGGTCTTACTAAGTTATTTGAGCTCCAAGAAAACAGATGAAAAATGGATGTGAAAAGGAAGAATATCAGTTAGTGATTCAGAGTTGCTCCCAACATTCAGCCCTTTATCACCCAGTAAGAACAGTACATATGATACTCGCTGGTTAGGTGGAGATGATCAAGGGATCATCTAAAGAGGATTTTAAGACACACTAAAGAGGATTTTCCTTCATCTTTACAACACTAGAGTGGGCATCAGCTAAAACTTAGAGTAGAATTCTCTGGTTAGCAAGAGTTCAAGTTCTTCCATCCATGATCACACCTGCACCACCATTTAGCTCTTCCCAGGGTAAAAAAGCTGGGGTGAGTGAGTGGGCACAGGATAGTCACTTGCTAGGGTGGATGGCTCTCCTTACTCTAAACAAACAGTTCTGCCATTGTTCTCTGGGCATGACCCCCTCCCCACCCCCAGGCCTATGGGCCCCTACAGAATACCAATGAGGCTCCTGAGATCTCTGGGAGAAACAAGGCTTCTTTGTTTGGGGGAGCTATGGAGGGCTCTGTCCAAGCCCTGACCCTGTGCTAGGGAGAGAGGGAACAGTGGGGTCACTGATCTTCCCCTCCCCCACCCCCAGGCTTCAGAGAACTTCTTTACTAGAAGACTCTAAGAGTTTGGGGGTGGAGAAGAGTCGGATAGACAGAGAAGGAAAATGGCAGCACTGTTTATTTCCAAGCTCCTTTTCTTGACTTACAATATGCATCTAGTTCTAGTATCTTAACCTGCTGTGAAATTTCTGGAATGTTTCCTAAGAATAATGATCAATTTCAAATGTGTTTTTCTTTTGGTATACACATGCATATGTGTTCATATTTGCAGGTATGCATGTGTGTGTGTGTGTGTGTGTGTGTGTGTGTGTGCGCGCGCGCGCATATGCCACAGGTTCACTTTGATGAGACACTCTTACCGGGCACTATTGTAAAATTCACGCTAAGTAAACTCTGACTTCACTATGGCATCACAGCTACAGATTGCTTCCAATAGAGGCCAAGTTTTCTGACAACGATTCTTGGAAAAGAAATTCAGTTCTGCTGCAAATGTCAACTACTTGCTTTGCTTGGCTTGAGCTTCCATGCCTAATCTCTGGTGTGATATATAAGAATCTTTGAGGAAGAGGCTCTTTGAGGACTAAGGAATGGCTGTCATTTTAGGGGATGGTGGGTGTAGGACTCACTCATTTTGTGGCTCTGAGAACAGATAAATGCATCTATCTCAATTTTTCCATGATAGAGATCATTTAGTCCTTCAGAAAATGTTCACATTGATGTAATTCTGCCATGAAAATCACCAGATGGTTAAGCACTCAGGGCTAAAAAGAAGCTGTACTGGTATTAATAGGGTTGGGCAAATGACTCCTCTAGTCCCTGGTACCTGGTATGGACAAGTGAGGTTTGCATGAAAATCCAAACCTAAAAATTAATACAATTTACTTTCTTTTTGTAAGAAGTCCCAACATGCTCTTCTAAAATAACACTTTTCAGCACACTTGCTGATTATTTGTGTGTGTGTGTGTGTGTGTATATATACACAAATAATTCATATATACATATAATATATAAAAATGTAAAATAATTCATATATCATATATATACATATGATATGATATATGAACAGATATATAAAATCTGTGTATATTTGTATATTATGTATGTAAACATATAAAGAACTCTTTTCAAAAAAGATTAACATTTTTATTCCTTGTACCTTTTGGGGATCAGGCCAAGAGGCCAGAGGGAGCCATCCTTGCCCAAACTCATTCTTCTCAGTAAACAAGATTCCCATATGACTGAATCTGTCGTTTATGTCTTCACATCTCACATAACACCTAGCACAATGCTAGGCACATAGTAGGTACTCCATAAAAGTTGATGGATGACTAAAACAAACAGATAGGAATTATAAGAGAGGAGAGAATGATTGCATAATCTCTCTGGGTTGCTACTTGAATTATTGATTATTAATACCCCCCCCACACACACACACAAATTCTGGGAATTAAAAGAGAGGACTTATTTTCAAGAATGTCACAAAGTATGTTTCTGGGGTCAATCTCACATTCCAGAAGCCTAAAGTTCTCGACTCTCCTGATTTTGGACTCCTGGTTAACACTTCATCCATGCATGCGAGCACAGAGCATGATTGGTCTGGCAAAGAGGTAAGACTGGCATTACCTTCCTATTGTACATTCCTGATTGCTTCCCCTTCTTCTTCCCCAGGTTTGTTAGAGTGCTGTGCAAGATGTCTCGTAGGGGCCCCCTTTGCCTCCCTGGTGGCCACTGGATTGTGTTTCTTTGGGGTGGCACTATTCTGTGGCTGTGGACATGAAGCCCTCACTGGTACAGAAAAACTAATTGAGACCTATTTCTCCAAAAACTACCAGGACTATGAGTATCTCATCAATGTGTAAGTACCTGTCATCCCATAAAAACCCTTCTCTTTTTCTCTCCATCTTGGAGATATAGAACTCATACTTAGTGACAAGTAGGGGATTGGTGTGGCACCAGAAAGTATTCCTGAGCCTTTCCTCTCTGTGCTGATTCCACCTATGCCACAACTCCACATCTGAACCCCTAAATAAGGGAAAAGTGCCAAGTTCATAAAGTAGGGGTCTACCTGCTAGCCCGTCTCCTAGCTCTTGTTTTCTTCCATGCATTCTAACTTTTGCTCAGTAGGGTTAACATTGACTGAGTTGGAGCTTCCAAAGTGGTAGGTATAGAGAATTTGGGGGAGGTAAAATGACTGAACAAAGTCGGGCCACTGCTCTTGGTTTGACACACCACTTGAGTCTGCACATACCCAGTCCTAGCTTCTCTTATTCCTAGAGCTAGTTAGACTCCTGTTTCCTCATCACTTTTCTTGTCCAACTTTTCTCTCTTCTGAAGGAGCATCTTTGAAAGGTCAGGCAAAGGAGCCTAGGGCTCTGGTTGTTCAGGTCACAAGGTGGGCAAGGTGTGCATCGAAGAGCATGTGCTTCTGGCTGCACATTCCTTATCTTCCTTTACTTCAATCCAGACAAGGAGGTGGAAGCGTGGAGATGGAAATTTATGATTCCTCTAAAGACTTCCTAATCTTGTTTAAGTGCTCACTTAAGTGTCCATCTCACTTATGCAGGAAGGGAACTAGTTCCTCAATTAATAAGATTATCTGGTCTCATTTGTCTATCTGTTAATGCAGGATCCATGCCTTCCAGTATGTCATCTATGGAACTGCCTCTTTCTTCTTCCTTTATGGGGCCCTCCTGCTGGCTGAGGGCTTCTACACTACCGGCGCAGTCAGGCAGATCTTTGGCGACTACAAGACCACCATCTGCGGCAAGGGCCTCAGTGCAACGGTAACAGGGGGCCAGAAGGGGAGGGGTTCCAGAGGCCAACATCAAGCTCATTCTTTGGAGCGGGTGTGTCATTGTTTGGGAAAATGGCTAGGACATCCCGACAAGGTGATCATCCTCAGGATTTTGTGGCAATAACAAGGGGTGGGGGACAATGGGGCGTGAGTCTGTGGCCTCACCCTCACCCAAGGCTGGGAACTTTCTAGGTGCCTGGCCTTTTAGTGAGGAAGTGATGGCTACAGCCAAACAAGGTCAGGAAGAACGTGGTGCCCAGCTGGCTTAGCTTCACCTTTGAAAAGTTCCCTAGAAAATTTCATCTCAAAATGAAAAGCATGAGTTTTGTGGGATATTTTATACAATCAGACCATTTCTAAGCCATCTGTTGATCCTTTTACTCCCCTCCTAGGAGGGATCACAACAAGAGATCTGACTACTCAAGAGTCTACAATGCTACCCATAGAACTGAAATGTAGGTAGCTAATCTTAAAGGGGTGTGGATCATGGAAATTAAATAATTGACTCCAAGGTGGAATTCACAATATTCTGGGATCCTACACTGTTGGAGGTCCCAGAGGGAACTAGAATAAATCTACATATTTACCGCTACATCTTTGACTGGGGACTATTCATGTTTCTACTGAGGCACACATTGGTTTTCAGCCTCTAGAGTTAAAGGTTCCTTTGGGGGCTAAACATCTGTGGGTTGTGGTGATGTCTTTTGTGGCCAGCAGTTGGCTTAGAAAGGTGCTGTTTTTTTTTTGTTAATTTGAAATTTAGATCTCCTATTGGCTTTGTTTAATGACTAGGGATCAAAAGTTCTGTGACAAGAAACTTTTTCTAAGCTCAGCCTAAGGCAAAGAATGGCACGACTTTCTTTCAAGATCTATTTTGATTTTTTCACACCTTATCTGCCCAACAAATCTCCTGAAGCTTCTCTAACCCAGGGATCCTTCTCACTCCAATCCCCACCCATTCCTGCCACCCTCTGTCACACTCAGGGCCAGTTCTCTAGTAGATACTGCCAATGACATTTGGCAGAGATGCCCTGCTTACTAATTTCATATAGTGGAGATCTCTGGAATCTGGTTCCATTTCTGGCACATACCACTCCAGGATCTCCCAGTTTGTGTTTCAATGTCTACAGGCTAATGCTCATTTCTAATCACACCATGTCAATTGTTTTAGTTTGTTGGCATCACCTATGCCCTGACCATTGTGTGGCTACTGGTGTTTGCCTGTTCTGCTGTGCCTGTGTACATTTACTTCAACACCTGGACCACCTGCCAGTCTATTGCCTTCCCCAGCAAGACCTCTGCCAGTATAGGCAGTCTATGTGCTGATGCCAGAATGTATGGTGAGTTAGTGCATGGGTGTCTTGGCTTCTCAACCCCCTTATGGAAGTGTATTAATTTAGTTTTTTATTTAGGGGTAAGGAGGGTGATAATTATGGGGGGAAATAAGAGGGATGCCTAGACCTTAGTTTATTAAACCCTCGCCACTGAAACTAGAGAGATGTCTTCCCTTCGAAAGAAACTTCTTGGAAGTGAGGAAAGATTTCTTGACTGTACACACTGCTCTACCCTATTTGACTGCTGTTCTCAGCAGTACATTTCAATAACAAATACAAGATTTCACAACTGTTCAATACCACCTTCTATTTTTTTGGTAAATCTTTAGAAAAGAGGATCCTGATTGTTAGTAGGATCGAATTTTCAGCCAGGATGGTTAAAGATGGAAGAAAGACTCTGCAGGAAAGTCACCATGTAGCCCTACAAGCCCATGAAGCTCACCTTAGTTGATTTGTGTATCTTACTTAGGTGTTCTCCCATGGAATGCTTTCCCTGGCAAGGTGTGTGGCTCTAACCTTCTGTCCATCTGCAAAACAGCTGAGGTAAGTGATCCATTTGGGTTACTTTACAGTGGAATGGCTAGTACCATACAAGTTCTTTCCCACGGCCTTTAATTTTAACGACCACAGTTTCTCTTGCTCGATTTTGAGTTGGCAAATTGTTTTCTACAAAATATTGATTTAATGTGCCTGAGCCAATGAGCATAGGTGGTAAAATATGTATGTTCCCTAGAGCTGCATAGAACGCCTTCTATTTCAAGACTTCTTACCTTAAAAGAGAAATTTGTAACTTTAGGTATAGATAGAGCTTAATGGTAAAATCCCACAAATGGAAATTTTTATTCTTTTAGTTAAAAACCATATGAAGAAAATGGGTTGTGCACAGAAATATTCATGGGTTTTACAAAAACACTTTCAGTTTGGAATTTCTCAATCTCCAATGTGAAGTAAAAACAGTACATTTGAAGAAGGAAAACATCGTATTGAGACAGGTTATTGTACACAAATGAATCAAAGGATTAAAAGTAATTCTGAGGAAGAAGGCAGTGAATAATTTCTTTGAAAACAAAATGTTGATTTTAAATTTTGTGACCCTGGGCACAATGATAAGAAACCAGTTTGATTAAAATATTTTTATGAGTGTTTTATGAGTATTCTGTGTTCTAAGTATTATGGTGTACATTTAGGAGTGGAAGGCTTACACTCAAGGAAGTGACAACTTAGTGATGCATAATTAACACACAAAGATATCAGCACATATTCAGAAAGCTGTGCTTATGATCTATAGCAGAGCATATTTTTGCTGTTGCAAGAAATAGTTCTTCCTTTTGCACTTTCTTGTAGTTCCAAATGACCTTCCACCTGTTCATTGCTGCATTTGTGGGGGCTGCAGCCACACTGGTTTCACTGGTAAGTTGCCTTTGGATTATCTTGGCCAATAAATGGTCCTGGGATAGCTGGTGTTCAGCTATGCTGCAAGGCAAAAAGATAGATTCCTTCTAACCTTGAAATGCTGGAGAGAAGCTACTGGGAAGTGTAGAGACTGTATATTTCTACTTTGGTTGGCAAGGCATAAAAACCTCAGAAATTAGGCAGGGACAAGAAAAGTGGTATGAGGGAAGAGGAGGTAAGAGATTCATAGATAAGAATTATAATATTTGGCATTTACAGAGCATGTAATATTGCCAAATGCTTTTCAATTCTACATTACAGTTAATTCTCAACACATCCTGGTCAGATCAGTTTCAAGAACACTGAAATATTACTAAAAATAATATTCTAAAGCCTGGAATTCTATATACTATGACTCTATCTTGTACACTTTCCAAGGGATTTAGTTATGCTCCTGAAAATATGGGAAGGATTCTCTGACAGTATGGGAACTGTTATTGCTATAATGTGATTCTATGTCCCAAGTTCTGTTGTTGGTGTTACAACACAGTGTTAATGTAGTGCATTCACGGTTCACATTAAAAACCTAGGGCAATGAAGGGTGAGGCAATTTATCTGAAGTCATTGAATAAGTGGTGAATGTGCAAGGATAAGCTCACAGAACTCCTAGCCCTTATTGCTGAGGTTTTTATAAAGTCTAGTTGTTTCTCATTTTGTAAAATAAATTGATGCACTGGTGGGCTGTGTTGCACAGTGTGGCTGTGTGTCTGCAGCAAGCCCTCTATGATTCCAGGTCACTCAGACATGAAAGTAAGATGATGGCAGACCTATGTATCATTTACTTTTCCCTCAAGAAAAGTCAGTGCTAGGCCAAGCATAGTGTGGAATAAATCAGGCCGAGTTGGTTCTCTGTACCTGGGACATTAGAAGAAAATGTTTCAGGACTTCTAGTCAAGTATATAGGACAAAAGCCTGGGACATGCTGCTTTTTATAGAACAGGGATTTTTCCTTTATTTAGCTATGATTTTATTTTATCACTTCTTTTTAAAAAATGTATTTCGATTGATTTCAGAGAGGAAGGGAGAGGGAGAGATAGAAACATCAATAATGAGAGAGAATCACTGATCGGCTGCCTCCTGCATGCCTCCAACTAGGGATCCAGCCCACAACCTGGGCATGTGCCCTGACTGGGAATCGAACCGGTGACCTCCTGTTTTATAAGTTGACACTCAACCACTGAGCCACCACGGGTGTACTGTTTCATCACTTCTTCATTGCCAAAAGGACTGGAGGAGAGAGAAAGCTTCCTTTTCTACTCTTACTCATATTCTCTCTCTGTTCCTTACAGCTCACCTTCATGATTGCTGCCACTTACAACTTTGCTGTCCTTAAACTCATGGGCCGAGGCACCAAGTTCTGATCGCCTGTAGAAACTTCCCTTTCTCTAACAGCAAGGCTCTAACCACACAGCCTACAGTGCTGTGTCTCCCGTGTTAACTCTTTGCCTTTACCACTGACTGGCCCTCTTCTTACTTGATGTGTGTAACAAGAAAGGAGAGTCTTGTGGTGATTGATGTCTCTCTGTGGACTCTCCCCTCTTATGTTCCTTTTTTAGTCATTTTGCTTCACAGCTGTTTCCTGCTAGAAATGGGAAATGCTTAAGATGGTGACTCCACCACTACAAGTCACAAAGAAATGGAGGCTCTACTTCAACTTTCAAGCATCTCCTGAGGACCAGGGAGTGTTTTCTTCTCAAAGGGCACTTCCACTGATGGAAACAAAGTGGAAAGAAAGATGCTCAATTAGTTTTAGATGATAAGGGACCAAATATATTCTCCTTGGTGTGCAAAACAGAGAGCTCAGTCCTGTCTCCCTATTACCACTGAAAATAGAAGACAAAAATGCCAGTAAAACAATAAGAGCATTTGCCCAAATCTACCTATTGCAGCTGGGAGAAGGGGGTCAAAGCAAGGATCTTTCACCCATAGAAAGAGAGCACTGACCCCAATAGCGAAGGACTATTTAAGCCCTAACTCAGCCAACCTTACTTACAGCATAAGGGAGCATAGTGTCTGTGTAGACAGAGGGGGCACCTGGCCTTACACCTCGTTAAAGAAGAGAAACAGGGTGTTGTCAGCATTTTCTCATTACCTTCTCCTTGAGAACAGCTACCATGACAGCCCTGTGGTTTCCAAAGAGCTGAGAATAGAGAAAAACTAGCTCAGATGAAAAAAGACTGGCTTAAGTAACAGCAGTTGCTAGTGGCTAATGGTGTAAATGGAGCCAGCCCTCTGGTAGACATAGGATAGATAACTCTTTGGATAGCATGTGTTTTTTCTGTTAATTACTTGTGTACTCTGGCCTCTGTCATAGCTTCACAATGGTGCTCTTATCATAGGGTATTATCCATTCAGTCATTGTAGGTGATTTGAAGATCTTGATTTGTTTTAGACTGATGCACATTTCACATTTTCCAGTTTGTTTATCACTTGGTCAGGGTTGTATCAGAAAGGTCTGGAGAATGATCCTTTGAATATGATTCTTTAACTAATGAAAATTGGACATTAAACATCACAAATGATATGTAAAATTGGCTAGTTCCATACATGTACTGGAAGTTTCTATAAGTTATTCTTCCTTTTGCAGAAACAGATTTGGTGAATTTTAATCTCAATTTGAATAACCTATTATTTTAATAATTAGTCGGTTCTTTCTAGCTAGTGGGGGATGATTTAATTTAACAATGTTACCTTGGTGTGTTAAAGAGTCAGATTTAACATACAGGTTATTCTTTCCTGGTATAGATCTCTAAACTGAATACACCAGCTGTCAGCTATTCGGTTGGCAAGTTTCCACAGAAAAGAAAAGGTGGAAAGATTTTGAAACCAGGTTTCAGTCTTCCCTTTCTTGTTTATTAACTTTGGGTTAAAATATAAAAGGCTGATTGGTCATTATTGAAGGAAAGGTTTTATGGGTATGACTGTAGGCAGCTCTTTTGTTGTAAAGAGTTGTATATTTTTCTCCCAAAGTGGTTTCAGCAATGTTTGAGGTGTAAGATCCTTACAAAAAGACACTTGATATTTGTTTTTAGACCAGTATACCAGATAAGCTTCCAGGCTGCATTGAGGGAGGAGATGGAAAAATTTCTGTAAGAAACCAATCAAGATCAAGGAAAGTGAAGTAATCCATACCTTGTGTTTTATTTTGATTTAATAGTATAACAAATAACCAACTCTTTCCTGAAAACCTCCCAGGCATACATATACACATATACACACAAAGAGGGTTAATCAACTGCAAGAGTTTCCTTCATTTCTGATATAGAATTTCAATTTTAACATACATAAAGGATAAACTTTTAGAAACTTATCTTACAAAATGTATTTTATAAAATTAAAGAAAATAAAATTAAGAATGTTCTCAAACATTGTGTCCTCTGAGTGAATTGTTCTGTTTTACTCACAATTGAACTTGAATAATTGCATCTTTATTTTGCTTTGTTCAAGGACTTCGTTCATTTTTTTCAGGTTATCCAAGTCATTCTCACAATTCTCTAAAATAGAGTTGATAAATCACTTCTGTTTTTATAGCTGGTGACAATAAGAAATAGAGGCAAAAAGAAATTAATCCAAAAAGTACATTTCTGAGCTTGGACTAGAATTCAGATCTTGATACCAATTCATTACCTGTTTTAGGGTTTCTTTTCTCCTAAGTTGGGTTTCAGAGTGGTCTGCTAATTCGGAGTCAAACATGGTTACTTTAACAGAATAATAGTGTCCAGCTCTGGTGTCTTCAGAATTATGTTATTGTTAGCTCTTTGAATTTTCCAATGAATCCTTAATGTTTCATACATGAGTAATTCTCATGTATCTGAGAAGTACTGGATGAAAGGTTTAATGTCAAAGCAGAGCAAATATGGTAAGGGCAATATAAATTTAGTTTGTGGCAAGAAAGTATTAAAATGATTAATGACATCTACTACTATGATTGGCTAGCCCACTAGCCCTTGGGACACGGCATTAAATACCCAGCTATCATTTGGTACTCTTGAATAGTACTCTAATGACCAGCCTAAAGAAAACTGGCTTAAAATTCACTATAGTTTCATTGTCGCATAGTTGCAGCTGGCAAGGAGCATGACTAGAGAGAAACCTAAGGAGCTCCGTTCAAAAATAGTTTCAATTTAATCTCCCGATTTCTGCTTCATTACAATTAATATTCTGCAAGCAAGTCTGGTTGGATGACTTTAAGACTAAAAGAATAAAGATATGACAAGGACTTATTTTTAGACACTGGCAAACAAGTACACAGCACCATATTTTAGAGAATTGATTCAGAATGCTATAGAGTGAATGTATTTTTGCCTCAGAACAGCAGAAAGCCAGTTCCCAAGAAAGCTGTGTTTGTCTGCCATTATTTGGCTCTGCTCTCTGGGACTGATCTATAGATGAAGTTTCCAGGCTCTCAGAAGCTGAGAGCATCTCCAGTGTATCAATTGAGCCCATTGTTCTTAGCTCTCCCACACATCATAAACCTCCTTTCTCTAAACGGAAAGAGCTCTCTTTGTGCTTAGATCAGCCAAAGATCGAGATGCAGCAGTATAAACAAGAAACATTTTCTTACAGCATCAGTTATGTTGCTTTTCCTATCTTCAGGGTCAGTACTGCATGCAATTATGCAGGGCGTGGAAGCTGCAGGTTTGGCCAGAGTAACATTGGTTCATTCATTAATTCAGTCTACAAACATTTATGGAGCATGTACTAAGCTTTGTAGTAAACCCTGGGAGCCTCAAGTTTGAGGGGGGGGGATGTGGGTAGAAAGGCGATATAGATATGATCTTACATTCAAGGAGGTCTACTAGGGTAGAGTGAAGTGGAGGCAAGAAGCATGCAAGAAGCAATATGACCAGCTGACTGCAATGGGCATCTGAATTCTCCTCTCAGTATGTGGGAGAGGGGTGGTTAAGGGCCATGACTTCACGTGGGTCTGGTTCTGTTAGGCCCTGATAAAAACAAAACTTCAATTTAGAATCTTGACAACTTGTGACTTGCCCTTTCTATGTAACCCTGCTTCTGGCCTTACATGTGACAGTATTTATGCACACACTGTCACAATGCATTCGCATGCTTCCACCCACTCAGTCATTTGAGGAGTCAGAGGGCACATGGATCAGGATTTACACAAACATGGGGCTATTTATCATTGCTTTTTCTCTCCATCAAGGCTAAATATGAGAAGCTTTGGAAAGGTATGTGATGTGATAACGATACAAGGTACTTCTCTCTGAATTTCCTTACTGTGAGCACACAGAGTGTGTCTATTTTGACATTAACATTTGAATATCAAGTAACAAATGGAATAAGAATTGATTCTTATATAAACAAAATCAAATAAAAACTTGACCTTTTCCTGTATCAATAGCAGGTAAGGAATTCAAGTCAATATCTACAAATTGGGAAAGATTTTCCTTGTTCACTCACTTGAATTGAAATAAGCAACCATGCTTTTCACAATTTTTGTTGTCCTGCAAAGTATGTTGTCTGTGTTCCTGCTCTGATACTCCTTGAACTGATCTACTTTATTCCAAAGGAAAGAAAAATTAGATAAAGGAATAAATATTTTTCCAGATTATAAATAACCAAAAGAAATCCAACCTTAACATTTATTCAAACCTGCAACACATTTAATAAATTCTCTGTGCCAAGTGTTATGTTAGGTGCTAGTAATACAACAGTGAGTAAAACAAACACAGTCTCTGCTCTCATAGAACTCAACTAGACACAAAAAGGGTTAGGGAGGGAGATAGGAAGTGTGGTGAAGAATGAGACTAACATCCTTTGACTGGAAAAGTAGAAAAGATAGAATCGAGGAGAAACTTGTACAGTCCCATGAAAAACAAAGGGTCAAGTAAAAGAAGATGTAGGCATGCAATTCTATATCCAGAGAAAGAGGCCTGGCATGCTATGGTATTTAGGGTCAAAAGATGTTAAAAATGGCCTCTTACTCTTTTGCTCACCAGCGTGGACAGTAAGCCAACTCTGGGCTTCAAAGGAATGAGCTTCATTAATAGTCCATGCACTACATGAAACTCTACCTTTCAAACATGAAAAGGAAAAACCACAAAGCTGAATTTGAGGGCTACAATTTATTTTAATTTTTGTTTTACTTTTTTAAAATTGATTTTATTGGGGTGATGTTGGTTTGCAAAACCATTCAGGTTTCAAGTATACAACGCAATAAAACACCATCTGCACACTGCATCATGTGTCCCACCCAAAACAAAGCCTTTCTGTCCCCTTTTCTCCCCCTTTATCCCTTTTCACTTAGCCACCACCCCCTTTCCCTCTGGGTATCACCACACTGTTGTCTGTATTTATGTGTTATGATAAATGGACAATCAATGTGTCCATGCTGCCTGTCACTACTTGAGCCAATTAAGCAGAGACAGCACTGACTCATATACTAGTATGAGCGTTTATTCCAATACTGCCAGCAATATGGGAGAGCAGCGGGTCATACACAAAAATCTGCTCTGCACCCCACCATAAGCCAATTGCTTATATTGGGTAGAAGGACAAAGATTACATGGGGAAGTAGCCAAATGGGCAGTTAACAGGTAAGCAGAGAGCTGGGGATCTTCACAGGGCTAGTGATATGCAAGGGCTGGGGGTCTTCAAAGGGCTGGCGATTCTGGTTCCTGCAACAAATTTGTTAAGCTTTCCATGATAATAGGCAGCTCCCTGATAAGGAGGATGGGATGCATTTCCAGGTGAGCTCCCAAGTCCCTAGTGCAGCTGTCAGCCAGGTTAGAATGTGCCTTCTTAATCAGAATAAATCAATCACAGTTAACAGGGCATGCTTAATATTTTTTACAATTGTAGCTGGTTCCCCAACATGTTATTTCTGCCCCTATCATTATATATATTTTTGGTTAATCCCTTCACCTTCTTTCATCCAGTCTCCAAAACCCTCTCCCCTCTGACAACTATCAGTCTGTTCCATATATCCATGCGTTTGTTACTATTTTGCTGGTCAGTGTATGTTGTTCATTAGATTCCATATATAAGTGAGACTGTATGGTATTTGTCTTTCTCTGGATGGCTTATTTCAATTAGCATAATACTCTCCAGGCCAGTCCATGTTGTCACAAAAGGTAAGATTTCCTTCCCCCCGCCCCTCCCGCCCAGCTGTGTAGTATTCCATTGTGTAAATGTACCACAGCTTTTTTATTCAGTCATCTACTGATGGGCACTTGGGCTGTTTTTAGATCTTGGCTATTGTAAATAATGCTGCTATAAACATAGGGGTGCATATGTTCTTTCAAATTAGTGTTTTGGGTTTCTTAAAATATATTCCCAGAAGTGGGATTGCTGGGCCAAAAGGCAGCTCTATTTTTGATTTTTGAGAAAACTTCATACTGCTTTTCACAGTGGCTGCACAGTCTGCATTCCTATCAACAAGGCATGAGGGTTCCCTTTTCTTCACATCCTCTCCAGCACTTGTTTGTTGGTTTATTGATGATAGCAATTCTAGAAGTTGTGAGGTGATACCTCATTGTGGTTTTAATTTGCATATCTCCGATGATCAGTGACATTGAGGATTTTTTCATATGTTTATTGGCCATCTGTATGTCCTCTTTGGAGATATGTCTATTCATCTCCTTTGCCTATTTTTTAATTGGGTTGTCTTCCTGGTATTGAGTTGTATATGGTCTTTATATATTTTCAAAATTAACCCTTTATGAGATGTATCATTGGCAAATATGTTCTCCCATTCAGTGGGTTCCCTTCTCATTTTGTTGATGGTTTCTTTTGCTGTGAAAAAGCTTTTAGTTTGATGTAGTCCCATTTGTTTATATTTGCCTTTGTTTCCCTTGCCTGAGGTGATATGTCAGCAAAAATATTGCTACAAGTTATGTTTGAGATTTTGCTGCCTATGGTTTCTTCTAGAATTTTAAGGTTTCATGACTTACATTTAAGTTTTTTATCCATTTTGAGTTTATTCTTATGTATGGTGTAATTTTGTTGTCTAGTTTCATTTTTTTGCATGTACCTAATTTTCCCAGCACCATTTATTGAAGAGACTATCTTTACTCCATTGTACGCCCTTGCCTCCTTTGGCAAATATTAATTGAGCATAATGACTTGGGCCAATTTCTGGGTTCTCTTTTCTGTTCCATTGATCTATATGCCTATTCTTGTGCCAGTCCCAAGTTGTTTTGTCTACAATAACTATAATATAATTTGATATCTGGTATTATGATTCCTCTTACTTTGTTCTTTCTCAAAGTTGCTGTGACTGTTTGGGGCCTTTTGTGGTTCCATATACATTTTTGGAGTATTTGTTCTAGATCTGTGAAATATGCCATTGGTATTTTAATGTGAATTGTGTTGAATCTATGGATTGCATTGGGTAGTATGGATATTT